TATCTCGACCTATTACCAGATCAAAGTACCGAAGAGTTCTTGCTCAGCTTGAAACGATTTATAGCAAGGAAAGGACGTCCAGAAAAAATATTCTCCGACAACGGTAAAACATTCGTAGCGACGGAAAAATGGCTGAAAAGAGTTCGAAACGATGAGAAATTCAACGATTGGTTGGCAAAGCAAGATATCAAGTGGAAGTTTAACTTAAGCCGCGCCCCTTGGTGGGGCGGGCAGTTTGAACGGTTAGTCGGTGTGATGAAACAAGCGCTATATAAATCGATCGGGCATGGAAACCTACGTTGGAAAGAGTTAGAAGAAGTTCTGTTGGACGTCGAAACCACTGTCAACAATTGACCGCTGTCATATGTCGAGGACGATATCCAGATTCCAATATTGACTCCAAATTCGATGCAGTTTGTACAGCCGACTCAAATCCCAGAAGATGAAACTACCGGAGTTGAAAATATCGACCTTCGTAAACGTGCAAGATACTTGAGAAGATGTAAAGATGTCGTTTGGTCCAGATGGACGAACGAATACCTCAAATCATTACGAGAAAGACACAAGCTAAAGCACAACACGAAGCGGATGACAGTGAAACGAGGTGACGTAGTTCTAATTAAAGGAGACGAACGCAACCGAGGGAAGTGGAAAATTGGGATAATCGAATCGTTCATTGTTGGCAGAGACGGTGTAATAAGAGGAGCGCGTTTGAGAGCAGGGAAGTCCCATATCGAACGTGCGATGCAACATCTATTCCCGATGGAATTATCGTGTGATAGCCACCCAACTGAAGATATTGGAACAAACGGAAAACAAGAAAAGTCATCTGAAAGAACTACGAGAGCCGCAGCAGTCGAAGCTCGTGAACGTATAGCGAACATTGCTAGAAATGAACTAGACAAATTGGACTAGAGAGAACACTTAGCAGGAACTAAAGATACATTTACATTAAAGTTAGTTGTTTAGCACGTGATTTACTAGGTTATATATTTGTCTTGTAGCAAGTCAAATAGGGGGAGAGTGAAGTAAATTGCGCAATGTCGGAAATTTAGTCCTCTGGGAACTTTGCCCGGGGTGATGTAATTCCGGGGACGAATGTAACGAACACGTTGTTGATCGGAAAACATTAGCGAAGCGTGAACTACATATCAGATTATATTTGTAAATTTATTTTTGTTTTATTATATATTTTATTAACTTTGTGATTGTGTTATGAAGACCCGTTTCCAACACACTGTTACAGGATCTCGATTCTCGAATATCGGAATATATTGTCAGACGGTCAGACGTACATGTTGTGTTCATGTACTTGAAGACTGGTATACCGATTTTAGATTCCACATGGAGGCGCAATCACACGATAAACATCATATCACAACGTGTAGGCAATTTCAATTTCGATGAACGATCAAGAATTAAACAAGCGAAACTCGATGAAATACTGACAAGACTGACAAAGCTGCGTGCTTAGAGTGACAGAGGACCTTGTGCTGCATTTTTCGCAGTCGTTCCTGTTCAGGTCTTGAAATCTATATAATCACTTGGATTACAAACCCTAACATTCTAATATTAATTCCACCAAGTGAAGTGCAAAAAACCACATCATTCAAGTCCACCTTATCACAACCCGCACACCCGAATACCTATATACACATGAACTTACGGTTACAGCTCAACAGCTGGCCTCTGTAGCTCAATTGGTTAGAGCCCTGCACCGGAATCGCAGGGCCGTAGGTTCAATTCCTACCAGAGGACCTTCGCAGTCGTTCCTGGTCAGGTCTTAAATTGTATATAATCACTTGGTTTACAAACCCTAAAATTCTAATATTAATTCCACCAAGTGAAGTGCAAAAAACCGCATCATTCAAGTCCTAAATATATTAAGTAATTTTGAAAGTAATTTGTAATTAATTACTTTTTGACACGTAATTAGTAATTTGTAATTAATTACTTTTGGAGAAAAGTAAGTTGTAATCTAATTAAATTACTTTTTGGGAAAATGTTAACAATGTTACAATGATTTTTTGAAGTATCGATGTTTCGTTGGAATGGAATGGGAAGAAGATAGAGGAACAAGTCTTTTGGTTTGATAATGAAAGTGACCCCAGTCTAAATTCCAACGTTTATGAATTGGCTACGAGTGTTGTTCAGAAACATTTTCCTGGCGAATTTGGAAGTGAGACAGTTGTCAGGAAAGTTGTTGATAAAATACTGCGGGAGACTGAGTTAAGGAAGAATGAGCAAGGTATGTAGTTAATGGTGGTGATGGTGATAGTGCTGGTGAAAGTAATGATGATGGTGGTGTTGGTGATGATGGTGCTGGTGATGGTTCATGGTGATGGTTCATGATGATGTTGGTGATGATGATGGTGGTAGTGATGGTGAAAGTAGTGATGGTGAAAGTGATGATGATGATGGTGGTGATGATGGTCGTGACAATGGTGACGTAGCCTGCGAACAGGATCTCAAGGTGAAATGAGCGCCTGCATCGATGACTAATGAATTTGAATATCTGCGTCTCAAATCGTGACGCGAAATTCTCATTGGTCAGATGCTATAATTTACATGCTGAAGCACTATGTATAAAAAACACATTAACTGATCAAATTGGTCTTGGCCATCTTATCTCAAAGCACGAAATGTTCTGTTTTGAGAAAACAGTATTCAAAACATTTAAACTTTTGCTTGAATATCTTATATTTCGAAAAACAGTATAAACTGTACGGTCTAAATTTAGTTTGCACGGTCTAAATTTAGTTTGCATGAAAGTTGTAAACAACACCATATAAGGACAGACATTCCATATTTGGAAAAACGAACGTTACGGGGCAGATATTCAAAATTGTATATCATCAGTGGAGGCTCTCATTTCACCTTGAGAGCCTGTTCGCAGGCTAATGGTGATGATGATGGTCTTGATAGTTGTCATGATGGTGGTGGTGGTGATGATGATGAGTGTTAACAAATATTAATCATTCTTCTGTGTAACAAACCTCTATACCTACTCTCTGTAGCAGCTGCACGTCTCACGTATTATCAATATCTGACATGTGCACTTGTGCAACTCCCTCAAAACAGCAATACTGTTTTTTTTTATTGTGGCATAAATTTATTACTAGGACACCAATATGGTTCTCATTACCTATATCTAAACTTAAAAAATCATGTGGTATAAATAAATGCATCTACCTATTTCGTGACTGAATAGAATTTATTTTGTCAAGCCATGTAATTAATTTTGAAATTGCTGTGACTTTGTGTAACCCTTCTGCGAGAATTGAACTTAAACCCTAAAGCACCAACCCATCCCCAACAACAAAATTACATCTTACTATCAATTTCAATTTGTCTTTGAAATCTGACCACCAATGTTTATTTGTAAATTCGGAATGTTTGTTGTAAAGCTCGGAATGTATGTTCGATTGCAGTTCGTTTTAAAGTTGGTTCCGATGGCGGAAGTAGGTATATTGAAATTGTATAATGGATACTTAGTGAAAATCAGGCCGAGTTGAATTTAAATGGTGCTTATTTCTACTCAAAATATGGGTCTCTAGTTACTTGTTTCTATATACACCTGTTGACTCTGGATGGTCTTCAGAAGTATCAAATAATGTACCTGCCATAACAAGGGCAGATTTCGTTTTAAGCCAATCAGCGTGTTGACATTTTCGCTCTCGGCCAATCAGAAAGTTCTACATTTAAAAACATAAACAAAAGGAGCGAGAAAATATGATCGTAATCTAAGGCTTCCGTGAGCTACAATATTAACTTTTTTATCTGAAACCGAAAGATTCTAATAGAAAATACATATATCTTGAATTTTGTCGTGGGACTTTTTAAATTTCGACACAGATCTCGAAATATCGATGTTTGAATTACCACCATGATTGCGCTCTGTAGCTGCATCATCTATCTATCAAATGGATCAATCTTTGAGAAATAACGCAGTTTTCATTGGGAAATACCACTGTTTACATTGTTTTTGTACCAATTTAAACAAGCAACAGCACAGAAACACGATTTAATTCAAACTTATTTTGGGCGATGTATTTTACTTTAGCTGGACATTCAAATTGGTTTTCCCCAGTGGTTTTCCCTTGCAAACGCGGTTTTTCCTTGCGGCGCAAAAATATATTTTTTATACCTTTCGAGTTTCAAAAAAAAACAGCGACACAAATTACAACAGCGACAAAATGCCAAAATTTAAAAAGGATTGCAATAATCCTTTACATGAAAATTGGTCAAATAGTGACGAGGGGAAAGTTGTCAATCTGCAGACCCGTGGTTTATTGAAGGTTGCACAATGCTTTACAGCAATACGTGGAACAAGAATTAGGCAAAAAAGTTCGCCATAAAATAAAACATCTTTGTGCAACCTGCTTAAAAACGTGCACGAGAACGCGTTAAATAACCAAATTCTTTGCCAAAGATGATCTTGAGGATGTGAAAAAATAGGTACGCAGTGCGTACATGTTGCATGCCATCTGAAACTTATCATGTGCTATAGCGCTTACATAAACCATTGGTACAACTGGCGTGAAACTTAAAATATTGATCATTCAATAAGTTTAAAATATCAATATATTTATTGAAAAATAGCTATTATGTCAAAATAAGAAAACTTAAGATTCTCACGCGAGTTAGCCTACGGTGTAAACCCCAGCAGAAACACGCGCATAGGCCATGTTTTTATAAGCGACCGTTAATAGTTAGTTGCAAGCGACGGTAATAATAACAATAACAAGGACAAGGTGGGTCAAGGTTTTATCAAATTTATAACTAAATAACGTTATTTCCTTTAGATTTAGCTTTATTGTAACTTTTTAAACGTATAAAAAAACGTGATAACGGTGAATTACTATAATAGATTGAAAATGATTATTATTTATCATTTTGACGTTTGAGTGATTGAAATGAGTTAATTTACACTAGATCGAATGTCATGTTGAATGTCATGTTGAATCTTATGCGTACTTCACAATGGTTGCTATTTGGTTGTATTAAATTTCAATAGTATGTATAATACTATTTATAATTCAAATTTTGTTTGATATTTATATATCATGTTATTTACAAAATGTGCTGTAGTTTTGAAGCTTTGCACACAATATAATCAGTGCGAGCACAATGGCTCCGTTTCAGTTTGAGTATATAAAAGTCGAGTATTTAACTGTATTTTGATAGCGTTCGCGGCTTAAAGGCTTTCACGATATATAAATATAAACGCCCGATAATTGATAAATAATCACTAATCAGTGCGAGCACAACGGCTCCAAAATAACAACAAATAACAGAATATAAGATAAGCTAAAAACAGTAAAGCTTTACCTAACTCGATTTATTTTTCTAAAGCGCTCAATTATTTAAGTTTTCGGCGATTAATCAATGTTTCTTTGCGTTTCCTCGACGAAAACCCGGCATGAAAATGCTTGTCGGAAAAACTCTGTATTTGTCGTATTTTACGAATCTGCCACGTGACTGGTACGCTCACCGACCACGACACGAAATTTAGAGCTATATGAAACTGAAAGTTGCATGCCATATATGGCATGCAACAAAAAGTATACAGCAGAGCCAGGCAGGAAAATTAGCCAATAGCAATAAATTATTTCAAACCTGGACAGGTTAGCTACTCAAAGGAACCCTATAGAATAAAGTTTGACTTTGGTACTACATTTCAATGGTAAAAAGCTTCGACATTATGGAATAAAAGGAATTTGTCTTCAGTGGTTTAAAGATTATATACAGGAAATAACTCAAATTGTAAAATATAAACAACATAGGTCAACTGAAATGAATGTTACTACAGGAGTTCCACAGGGTTCAATTCTTGGTCCACTGCTATTTCTTTTATACATCAACCACATGGAAAGCTGTAGTAATAGTATACTTTCGTTCGTATTGTACGCAGATGATACGAATGCTTTCTATTCACATTCGTGCTTGAAAATTGTGTATAATACAATACAAAATGATAATGAAATGAATAAAGCCCTGATTCCACGAGCGCTTTTGTCAGCGAAATGCGAAATATTTCGCCTGTTTCTTTCGAATTGCGACCACCCGAATAAATTATTTCTACTTGATTGCTCACAATTCAAAAGAAACAGGCGAATTATTTCGCATTTCGCCGAGAAAAGCGCCCGTGGAATCAGGCCTTAAGGTTGTGAAATGGCTCAATGCCAATAAATTATAAATCAAATCAAAATTTAAATAAAAAAGTCTTTATTGAATACAGATAATACAATCAAAATGACTAATGATTTGGTTAAACAAGTGACGTTTGTAAAGTTTCTAGGAGTTATAATTGACGAAGAGTTGACATGGAAGAACCACATTTGCTCAGTTCTGAAAACTTGATTATTAAATGTACAGGTCTGGTCGCTAAACTAAGACATTATACAAATAGAAACACTTTATTTACTACGCATTAGCTTATCCATACCTCACGTACGGGAACTTTGTTTGGGGAAATACATATCCCACGAGATTGCAAAAAATAATGAATGTACAAAAGAAAATTGTTTGATTAATTTGTTTTAAATCTTATTCGGATCATTCTGAACCATTATTTTTGGACTTGAAAATCTTGAACGTCTACAAAATTAATGATTATATATGTAGTATATTTTATCTTTTATTATCAAAATAATTTGCCGGACTTTTATTGTGATTATTTTAAACGAAATAGTGAATTACACAGTTATAATACACGTAATTCCACCAAGTTACACGTGACTTTCAAAGAACTAATTATCGTAAATATACTGTGTTTAACAAAGGGGTCTCTATATTCAATGGTCTCAATGAAAATATCAAAAATATCAAACCGTATTTCTCTTTTAAGAAAAAAATAAAATCCTATTACTTACTATCTGCTTAATGCAGATAATGTAAAATAAAGTCAACTTTTATCTCCTTATTCTTTTAATTATTTTTATTATAAGTAAACACATGCTTTGAGGGAGATTGCGAGGACATTTAATCACTAATTTCCCTCAAAGCATGCGTTCAGTTTGTAAATACATGGTAGCCGAGGCAACCGCGTGTGGTGTGTTGCCTGTTTTGAATGCTTTTTGATTGTCTTACGATTGTGGTACGAACACTTTTCATATATACGCACGCGCAGAAACACATATCCGTGTTCATTCGTTTTAATCATGCGCATAAACGGAGTTTTCTCCCACAATTGAAATGTTCAAGATTGTGGAATAAAAGCTGGCAAAGTGATTGTTCGAATGTGTACGGGACGGTGTCGTCAGATACTGTCCATAGTTGTGCCGATGATTTTCGATGAGGTACAGCTCTCCAATCAGAGGTAATGAGGTACGCTTTTGTCTTCTAAATATCCCTCATCAAGCATGCAGGGGAAAATTAGAGGACAAAGAAATCCCTTGTTTTCAACTAAATATCCCGGTTTCCGGGGAAATTTAGAAGACAAAAGCGTATTCATGGGTAATGTCATATTAGTCTTTTGGACAATGTAATTATTTGTTATGAAATTGCCTGTTACTGACTTGACTATATTATATAAACTTTTGCAATAGCACAGTGTAATAATGGCAGGGAGGGTGTGTGAATTGAAATGAAATAAAAATAAGAACTACAACAAGTACCATATCTGTATATTCTGGTTTTGTTCTTGATATTATTTAATGATCACTACAATTACCCTCTCCTTGCATAACTTTGAAAATGTACTGCAATGACTCTATTATGTAATTACTATAAAAATATATATTCTACTGTATTATACTATAGTTGGTCATTCCAGAATGTTCGACCTTCACTGAATACCTTGAGCCCGGTCAACAATCAGATGATAATCGAGAAGAATCCAATAGCCAACGTAGTGACACAGTGATAGAAATTCGTGAGTTTCCTGGGAGTCCACAAAATGTAGATCTACAAGCCCTAGAAAAAGTAACAAACAGTCAAAAAGGTGATACAACAACGATCTCTTTCAGTTCGCCAAGTCAAACGATTACCATGGATAGCCAAGACCTTTGTCCAACTAAAGATCTACAAACCCTAGACGAAGTAACAAACAGTCAAAAAAGTGATATAACAACAATCGCCTTGAGTTCGCCAAGTCAAACGATTACCATCGGGACGGTGTATTCCTCTCAGTAGAAGAGCACGCTTCATTACCCCAGAAAGCATAATTTTGTCCTAATTTCAGTGATGATCTCATTAAAATTTGGTTTCATATTTATCATTTGTCACAACCAGAAATGGATCCTACTGCCTTTGAAAGCATATGCAGGGATGCTGGTGCTGAGAATCTCTATAATTGTATAAATGATGCTATATGTTCTAATAGAATGTCCACTGAACGCAAACAGCTTAGTAAACTTCGAACAATGGTCGTTATTTATATCATGGTATATTCACAGTCCCAAAGATCCAACTCATTTCAAGTAGCCTTGTCGAGAACTCTTCAACAGTTTGGTATCACTGAAGAAGGACTTCAGTCCCTCCGAAATCTCGGTATCTCGCTGCACATCCTCACACCGTAAAAGCCCAAGCAAAGTTGTCTTCATCAGCACATTCAAGTCATGTTGTTAGCTTTATTGAATCAGCAGTAGAAAACAACCAGTTCATGATATTCTGTATCGACGACCACCACATTATCCACACCATGGATCGGCCTGAGTCCAAGACACAAACAAATCCAATAGACATGTCCACTTTGCTTTTGAAATTGTTCCCCAACATTAAAGCAGTGTCCCAAGAGAGAATCAACTTGCTACCGAAATCCCCAGTTAAGATTCCCAGCATGAAATTCTTCATAACAAACAACATGCAAAATGTTTCCAAGACATATGCAGAAAGTATGCCTTACTGGGTGGTGGGCAAATATTTCAATCCAGAGTCTGAGCGTCAAAGATTGCTGGTTAACGACTATCAACAAACTGAAGTAAAAGAGATGAGACGTATGAATAACACCAAACTTGTTGACAGTATTGAATTGCCATTAAAGTCATGCGAGAATGTTCTAACAGCAATTAACAAAATGCTATCTAGTGGACTAGAACTATGCCTTGATCACTTCATTGCTCCATTTGTTGGTAATTGGCCAAAGCAATTCTTCATTCGAAGATTGGTCTACTGTGATGCACCGTCTTTACCAGCAGCTCTTCAGAACATTGTTCCCCTCATTGCAGGGTTTGTTTTAACGTGCAGTTCTACACAAAATGTGCAGTTCTAAATCCATTTGTGCAGTTCTTAAAACTCAAATGTGCAGTCACCAAATGAACAAAAATATAACTTCAAAACAATCTTCTCATTTATTCGTTTTCCTTGTGGATGCTACAGATGCCAGAAATTCTGTCATTGAGCATCTAAAATCTAAATGTTTTCTGGAAGAGGAACACCAGACCCTCATATTTTCCTCACAATGGAATGGAACAGGTGGTTAAATTGGCGTTATCCAAAAGAGATTAGAGTGGAAGAACCTAATATTCTTTACTGCCTAAAGTTATTATATACTGAGTATTCATGATTCCCACTTACATGTTTTGAAACAGGTTTTGTGTGTGGTTGGGTGAAAGAAATCTTTACCTGAACTTACGAGCCTCCAAATTCAAAATTTGGTGGATACTCCCTACCTGTAGCTCCCCACCCAGAATCGAGTTTGTCTGGCCCCACCCAACCACACCTTTATTCTGCCACCTATATACAAATTAAGAATCTATCATAATTTACAACGTTAAATATAGATAAAAATCCTTTGACCGCCCAGTCAAACACGCGATGCTTCGTAACATCCCTAACATGTGCAGTGCTAAATTCTTCTTAAAATAAACCCTGCCTCATTGGTCCATTGCACATTTCCCTAAATGCAAGAGAATGTTTTTTTCTTCTGATATTTCATAAAACATTTGCAGATTTATACACATTCCGGGTTGGGAAAAAAGCAAAGTTGGCAAAGAAACCCAAAGCTTGGCGCATATCGTTATTGCTAGAGGTTATTTATGAAGAATCGACGCTTGTCAGGGACATGATTCTCTCAGTTTTTGGCAAGTGCAAGGATATTATTGAACCTGCTTGACAACTATATTCCTCTTGTGCTGAGCATTTATTCGATTGTGTTCAAGTGTAACAGTTATGATCTTTATTGCCAGTCTTGTTGCATTGTTGGATCATGTTTGTTGTGTTTCGCAGACATCACTACAATAAAGCTTTGCTTGTAAACCTGTCCCTGTTTCAACACTGGGAAGAAAATACCCACTCCATGTTTGAAACTGCGCGACAGTATATTGTGGCATTCGATGAATATCCCGTCGAAAATTTCCACTCGGTCCTAAGGGCTAGAACAAAAGAAACAGATTCAGCCGACCAGATTGCATTCAAAGCAAAAGAGATTGATGCATGCAAGCATGAACTACACAATTTTTAAATCTGTCTTTGTGCCAACTAAGAGATTCAACTACAGTTCATAGAGAATTAAGACGTTGAAGGCAAAGGTTGCAAAATTTCTCGCAAGCAAGTTGAATCCCTAAATGACCACCCTAACATGGCAACCCAGCAATCCCGAAGTATTCTGTTTGTGAATGCTGTCAAACAAAATTAAAGTGCAACACTCTCCACTTGACGAGTAAGATCGTCTGGTGTTAGACATAGTAAGATAATAAAGTAGGGTGCATTGTAGCTTAATGGGTTAACAAGACATATTTGTAATTTGGTTAACCCATTAAACCACAAGACTTTCACCTAGATGTTGAGTGAAATTGCCTGACAGTAGTGCATTTTATTGTGGGTTAATGGTTAAACTGAAACATACAAAATTAACATTACCTATCTTTATTTAACCATTTTCCATATTCAAGTGAAAAATAACGGAAATAACATAAAAATATAGTAATTTTAAAAAAAATAAAAGAATGTTTGAAAATGTACCCAAATTATTCTAATTATATTGTTCCAATTTTAGATTTTTAGAACACACCATGCAAAGTGTATGTAAAAACTAATAATAAATAAAAAATAATAATAAATAAAAAATAGCATTTCCACATTGTGGCTATTCTGAAAAAAACCCCCAATAAAAACAAACTAAAGGGAAAAAAAACTGAAGGATTTATAGAAAATTTCATTAATTCCATACAAAATGAAAGAAAAGGAACCTAAAATGATTTAAAATTCTTGAAACAAAGATCTAAAAAACAATTCGGACGGACGGACGGACGGACGGACGGACGGACGGACGGACGGACGGACAGACAGACAGACAGACAGACTATATATCTAAATAGGTTACAAGTAACTTATTTTAATTAAGGTGGCTCGATACAGTTTTCAAAAATTCAGGTGTTTAACACTTTGACATGTTCAAACTACGCATTTTTAGGATTTATTCAGCAGATATTGGGTTTTTTATATATTTTGATAACTCTACTTTCAAATTATATTAGTTTTAGTAACAGATAGTTCGTTGCTATGACGACATACGTGTACGAAATTCACTCCAAAATGGCCTATCGTCTCGTATAGTTGGAAAAAAAGCATGGTGACCCCCAATTTTTTTTCGTGCATTATTTTACTTGGACGAAAAGCTAACAATTAGCAAAATATAAAAAAATTCTGTAATGCCATTTTTTTGGAAAATGCGAAAATGTCATATTCTTCGGTAAAATTTTTTTGGCATTACAGAATTTTTTTATTTTTTGTATAATGAAAGTTTTTAGCGGTGCAATACAGCATGCAAAATTTGAACATAGGTCACCAGACAAAATAAAGAGATATAGCGCATTGTTTTTCTAAAATGGAAAATTCTAATGACGTCAGCAATTGACATAAAACGCTATATAGAACACGCGCAATGGCGTGAGATGGCGCGAGCAACTGCTCACGTCAGGTCGTTTTGGAAGTTCTTTCATTTTGTTAATCAGTTTCCGCGACCTGCGCGTAAAAATGGTCACCCGGTTTTGAGTTCGCGATTCTTGAACAGGGTTTTTGTGATAACTATATCGAGCCACCTTAAGGTTTATTTCCGTCAGAAAATGCGATTTACCTGAATGTGAGAAAGAAAGCCCCTTCTGGAAAGTGTTTCGTGGTTGTGGTCATTCTTTCCACATTGAATGCGTTTTGCCTGACATAAGTGTTTGTCAGATTTGTCAGTCGACATTGCCGACAAAACTCGAGGTCCTTGGCAAGGTAGCGAACGAGGCTGTTTTCCACCACGATCTGAGGACGACTTTGCAGGAGAACGAAGACGAGGCAGAGGACTCAGAAAGCGACTGCGAAAGCGAAACAGACGACAATGATGACGAGCACGAGATCCAGCCAGAAGATGAAGAAAACGAAATTAAGACAATCGATACATTGCCGCAAAATCGTTCCATCTATTTCCACTGGCACTTTGTCTATACGTACTGTTTCGATGTTTCCTCATTGAAAATTATTTAAAACAAACAAGCAAATACCGTATTTTTGGACAAAATCAATCAAACAGCTCGAGTATTTATAGACAACGTGCATCGAGAGCGATCACAAGAAACCGGGTATGACATATGACTTTATCACCGCCCAATTTAACTTTTTGACACATTTCCGACAACACGATCAGAGGTATAGTACAGTAAATTATGCCAGCATATGCATGTACTATAAAACGGAAGAAAAACTACAAAATCTTCGCAATGAAAACTGCGTTATTTCTCAAAGATCGATCGGTTTTGACGATATGATGTAGCTACAGAGCGCAATCACGGTGGTAATTCAAACATCGACATTTCGCGTTCTGTGTCGAAATTTAAAACGTCCCATGACAAAATTCAAGATATATGTATTTTCTATTAGAATCTTTCGGTTTCAGATAAAAAAGTTAATATTGTAGGCTACAATACGGCTACAATACGGAAGCCTTAGATTACGATCATATTTTCTCGGTCCTTTTGTTTATGTTTCTAAATGTATTAAAAGCTTTCTGATTGGCCGAGAGCGAAAGTGTCAACAAACGCGCTGATTGGCTTAAAGCGAAATCTGCCCTTGTTACCTGCCATTATGAATGCTTCCTTCTTTAACTTAATAATAGTGTTCATGCATACTAAAAAACCCGAACATGGTGAATTATACTACAGGTATATACAATAACTGTATCAGCCAGGGTGTTAAAACTGGTTTGTCCAAAAAATACTTCTAGCCTCATCTGCAAGGAGGAGTGTAGGTTTTCCATGGGATAGTGTTTGCGGGAACCTTACTGTCCACTCTCCTCTGCAACGCTACTATCCCAACATTACCATTATCTTTTAATCTCTGTGTGGTAATTCCAACCATGTAGCCTATTTTATAACTAATTTTATGTAATATAGGGTATTGTGTTCAATAGCAAAATCTGTAAAATAAAATAAATCTGAGATGGCCGAATCTGCATGTTCGCCGTTCTGTTACGTTTTACGTTTCGCTGCTGTAGCGAACTGCAATTTACAAGTAGCGAGTAGTTTTTGACTACTTTTTTAAAATGGTACTTGTTAGTGCCTTTTTAAAGAAATTTTAGGGACAAAAAAAAGTTCTTCAAGACAGCACAAATGTCGGACGTCAAGTTTTGCCCAAAAGCGCAAGATGGATAAATTTGTTGAATTTGCTATTATAAACAAACCGTACCGTCGAAAAGCGGAAAATAATCGTAAAAACGTCGCGAAAAATGGAAATAACCTTTATTTTGACACGATGGCTTTGGTTAAATTTGCTCGCATCAGATTATATAGGTCCGCTCGCAGCTGGCAAATGATCAATCCAGATCACTCGCAGCTACGCGTAGGGAATTTGGTACAAGTTTTCCAGCCTAGGAAGTAAACAATTAAGCATGTTGTGCAATGAGACTTTAGCTGTTGTTCTTTTGCTTTTTTCTGCTTTTATCCTGCTAAGAATGGACAATAAATAGACTCCCAATGGTCTTTCAATTTTATGTGAATTAGCACGTTTAGGGCAGGGCGCTTGATAGAAGGGGAAGGCTTTATAGAGGACCATTTGATGAAGGTTATATTTTATTTTACGTAGTGCTAAATTTTGTTTTAACTTTAATTTGTAGCCACAGATGTTTTCATGGAAGAGAAACGATTTAGCGATGCATTTTCGCGAGCTCTCCAAGAAGGTCAAGCAAAAAATAATCGAATTCCGATTATGCTGGTCGGGCAAGACCGAGGCGGAAAGACGTCGCTGATGAGACGTCTTTTAGGATTACCATTCGACAAAGATCAACGCAGTACCACTGGTATTGACGTTAATGTTATCGAGCTATCAGAACAAAATGCAGAAGATCCCTGGAGAAAGAGAGAAGTGAAGAATTTTATGACCAGTGAAAATGAGGCAAAGACTGTGTTATACAAAAAAACTGCCGAGTACTTTGATAGAGGAGTTCAGAGGAATTTAGAAGGGGATGCGCCAGAGTCATTGAAGCCAGTGGTGCCAGCGAAATCATTGCCAGTGAAGTCATTGGCAGTGAAGTCATTGCCAGTGAAGCCGTTGCCACTGAAGTCATTATCAAGAGAAGAAATATCCCAAATCAAGTCGCACAGGATCACTGAACATGACCAGAAAGACGTTCTTCGGATATTTATAAGTGACTTTGCTGGACAGTCAATCTACTACGATACCCATGGCTGCTTTGTGAAACCGCATTGCCCTTATGTTTTGGTTCACGATCTTTCTCTGGAGTTTGATAAACCCGCCGTCCCCAGGTTTAAAAACAGAGCTGAAAATAAAGAGATCGAGATGAACAATCCTCATCTTAATACCAATTTAGATCATTTTACATCATGGTTGAAATTTCTGCAAGGTTTAGGAGAATACCAAGATCAACAGTTCCCTGATAAAACTGGTCACTGTACTACTGCAGACGGTCGTAATTTTAAACGCCCTCCGGTATTAATAGCCTTAACTCACAGTGATAAGGTGAAAGGCAACGACCCCAAAATACTCAGCGTACAGAAGAGAATGAAAAATGTCGTGTCTGCAAGTGACTATAAGAATGTCATTCTTGGGGTTTTCCAGATCGACAACACATTAGAAGGCGACGACGGAGACGACGTGCGAAAGCTTCGTAGAGAGCTTTTTGACTACTCGAATGC